GCTATATTATGTCTGGAATGCCGAGAGTCATTGAGAGAGATGTCAAATTAGTAATTACTATTTACAAGCCTGGAGCCTATTTGATATATGGTTGATCAACATAGACTGATGGTATTTACAGATATGTTAGAGGAACTCCATATTTTAGAGACTGAAGAGGAAAATGTAAGGAGACAGAGAGGAACAGGGAAAGGAAGTGGAAAAGAAACCACAATGTGTAATATACCAGAGGTCATGAAAGGAGAATGGTCAGCTGAGAAGTATGCAGCTTGATACTACTGAGCTGGGAGCATGAAGAGAGTAAAGTGACTATTAGACTGGATGCCACAAGGGTCATGGAGGTCTTAAGCAGGCAGTTTCAGGAATGTGAAGGATACTGAAGACAGACTGGAGAACAGGTGACATGGAACAGTTGCATTTGAGAAAGTACAAGCACATAAGTCTTTGGCAGTTTCGGAGAGCATATAAAAAGGGAATTTGGGGTGCCTAGGTGGCTCAGTTGGTTGAACATCCAACTTTGGCTCATGTCGTGATCTCAAGGTTCGTGAGCATGAGCCCCACATCAGGCTCGTTGCTATCAGTGCAGAGCCCACTCCGGATCTTCTGTCCCCCCACCCTTTCTGCACCTCCCCTGCTTGTGCTCTCTCTCTCAAAAATAAATAAACATTTAAAGAAAAGGAAATTCAAGAGGAGACAGATATGGGGGTGGCAAACGGGGCTGAGATGCACTAAAGTTTTAAGTATGGTGAGTTTCACGTAGCTGCAGAGCATCCAAGTGAAAATGTCTAGAAGGCAAGATTATGACTGGAGAGAGTTTGAAACCATGTATGTGCAAAGCTGGGCAAGAATCTCTGGCCCAGATGCCTTTTTAATGAACCCTGCTCATGTTTAAGGTTTGATGTAAAAGATTTAGTACATAATCCCTCTTTTGAACGTTCATCTTGGACTCCTCAGCTCACCTAGTAACTATTCTGTCCTCTCTCTAGAATCTGCAAGCCACCTTAGTCCTTTACTTGGCCCTTTGGGGTTTTTCTGTAAACTAAATTTCTAGAGGGAGCATTTCTAGGCTGCAAGGTATATCTTGAACCAACCTCTTGGTTGAACCACCCTCTTAGGGACTGTGGCAGGTTTTAGATAGCTTAATGAGATATGCTGTGAATGGAACTTTGTCTTTCCTGGAGTCAGTTAGTGTGAGCTCTTGGGCCATGGAATGGCCCAAGATTTTCTTTCAATATTGGGAAAAAGAGAAGAACTATGAGAATCAGAGGATGGGAGGGCTTTTGGAAATGGAAGCCATTACATACAACTGCCAAGAAGTTTTTCAGCCCTTTAATGAAGACTGTTTAAGATTCCTCATGGGAATGCATTCCACATGGGAATGTGAGAGCAGCACATGAATATATTTTACAGGCTTCTTTTCCTTTTTTTTCAAAATAACTTTCACATACACCTACTCTAATAAGTTACCGTCTTGTATGAACTGATTCATTTGTCAATAATAATTGTAGAAGCCAGTGTGGGGGCTCAAAACTCCAACAAGAACACAAAGTATATTGTATTTCAGCTTAAGTAGGTGGAGAAGCAGTGAACTTTTTCTTGTTCTAGTGACATCCATTGACTTATATATGGTTTCTCTGTGTCCTGAAACTGTAAGTTCAGTAGAAAGGGTCAGGGACACATCATGGGCAGAATGTAAGAGATGATTTATAGCACATCAAAAAAGGAATATCTGATTGCATTAGTTTCCTACGGCTGCCACGATAGTGTCATAAATGGGTGGCTTAAAACAACAGAAATGTATGGTCTCCCAGTTCTGGAGGTCAGGACCCCAAAATCAAGGTGTCACCATGGCCTTGCTTCTTCTGAAACTTGTAAGAGGATCCTTCTTTTCCTCTTTCTAGCTCCTAGTAGTTGGCCAGAAACCTTTGATATTCTGTAGTTTATAGCTGTGTAACACCAATATCTGCTTTCATCATCACACGGCATTCTGTGTCTTCACATGGCCATCTTTTTTTTTTTTTTTTTTTTTTTAAGGACACCACTTATGTTGGATTAGGGGCGTACCCTACTCTAGTATTACTTTATCTTAACTACATCTATTTCTAAATTTTTGTGGTGCTATTTCCAAATAAGTTTACATCCTAAGGTACTAGAGATTAGGACTGCAACATATCTTTTTTTTTGAGGAGACACAAGTCAACACCTAACACTCACAAATTTTCACAAGAGAGCTGAAGAGAAGGAAAGAGGGAGGGAGGAAAGTGGTAACTATGGATAATGAGTTAGGAGGCTATTGTCTCCATTACTGTTTCCAGACCACCACTTTCTTACCCATAAAAGGGCAACAAAAAATTGCATCCTAGGGGCCCCTGCTATTTGGCTAAACTACCCTCTCTTCCTTTCTTCTGGTAGATACTGTTATATACTAACCAGTTACTTCTCTCCACTAAATATTGGGCGGTGGTTCTCAAACTTTGTTGTATATTCCACATCACCTGGGAACTTAGTAAAAATAGATAGAAACCCTGGCCGTATCTTACTTCAACAAGACTGTCTCTTTCAATGGCCCTCAAGGTGATTCTAATACACTCCTAAGTTTAAGAACCACTTGCACAAAGCTTGTAGTCTTTCTACCCCAACATTTGGCATTCATAAAGATGACTCATCCAACACCAGACCTCTCATTTCTTGGCCTCTTCACCCTCAATGACCTTCTATTCCACTCCTTCACAGCCTGCCCCACCCACAGCCACACTCTGGACCTTGCCAGCATTATCTCACTAATCTGGGGTAATCAGTATTACAGTGAATGAGCTGCAACTCTAGAGGGCAGAATTATAAGGTGAGATCCTTTTTGCTCCCAATTGCCCTTTCAACTCCCTCTCTAAGCTAGTTTTTGTTTTGTTTTCCTTGTTACTAGAGCAGACCACTAACTTTTCTGGCTTTCAGGTTATAAAAATTCTTCTTGGAACTCTCAGTCACAAGAAAAGTCTCAGTGCAATCACTAAAATGTTCAATAGAATTTGAACCATATTCAAAGCTAAAGCTCCTCTCCTCCCTCATCTTGTCCCTGCTGCTCGATGAAAAGCCTGTGGAGGGAGAGAGCTTCTCTTTCCTCTCCATCCTATTCCAGTTCAACTGCCTCTGTATCCTCCCGGATTGGATCAAGAGGAGAGAGGAGAGGTTGTGGTTTCACTTGATTGGCACAGACACAGTCCATCATTGCAGCCTTTGGGATGGCAGAATCCCATTGTTGACTCTTTCCTTTGGCTATTTTTTGTGAGTTTTGAAGAGATATTTCCCACTTGGATCACTCCAGTAAGCTGCCATGATGGAGGCAATGTCTCTCACCTCCCACTGACCTACAATTTCTTCCTCAGCCCCTGGCCATCTTGTGGCCACTCCCTCAAGCTAGTCATGCAACCTGAGATAGCTCCAGACTGTCTCCTCTCACAGCCCTGCATCTGACCCAGGAGAAATACTCACTTTCCCCTTGCCCAGCTGCTGGTGGATGTGTGTAGCCTGCTCCCAATACAGCTTTACATACCGCCCTCCCCTCAATCCCATCCTGCCACCACACAAACCTAATTTGGTAAGAGCTTCTCTTACCAGCCCTTACACTCTTCAAACTCAAGGAGGCACATTTGAAGCTCTTCAATGGTTTCCTTAAAATAATCTCTCTCACCTGGTATAAGAGGAGCACCACTCCCTTCACCTAGGATAGAAGGGAAGAAAAAGAAAAAACCAGGGTACTCCAACAGTTCTCCAAAGAAAACTTGTCTCTCAACTTTTCAACTCCAGTGCTTACACAGACTCCAGGTGGTTGATGGATTAACCTAATTTAGAAAATGGCTAGTTTGCTTGTCAAACAATTCTCATTAGGACCATTACTTGACCTCAAGGGGAGCCTTCTCTGATTCATGGTCTCCTTTACTTTCTCTCATCACTAGCCTTCTCCTGCTTCTCTTACTCCCAGATTAGATTTCATGGTCCATACTTTCAGTATTCCTCTTGCCAATACCATAAGTTCCTTTGTCTCTTTATTGTTTCATAACATCAATCTGGAAAAACTTCAAGCTTGGATGAACTCAACGGCCCATATCCTCCATGCCTCCACCCAGGCAACTGTGCACCACAACTGAGAAACACAAAAGGGCAAGCTGATATGACTATAATTTTCAGGTGACTAGCTCTTGGTCCTCAACACTGCTAACAATTCTGTTATACTTCTTTGGTCACCTGCTCTCTTGCTCTCTAGAAGGGCCATTTCAAGTGTCCTACTCTTTTTAACTTCTAATCCCCTATCTTAGTGTTCACTCTCCAAAAATAACTCCCCTTTTGTTTCCTGGAGAAATCAGAAGTCATTGCCTTGTAATACCTTCTCCCTAGCAAATTTATTACCCAACCTATACCTTTAGCCATCCTATTCTCTTCCCCTCCTGTTAAAATAGAGATATTCTTTAGTCCAAAACCAACTCCTCTGTTCCTTTGGACCCCATCTCCTCCCACTTTTTTTGAACAATATCCATTAATTGTCCCTTCTTGCAACTTCAACCTCCCTCTTCTGGATTCTTATTAATGTCTAAACATACTAGCCTCCCCTATCTTAACAAGCCTGTAACAGCTTACACTATAGTTATTATATACCACTATTGTTCTAAGTATTTCACATATGCAGATTATTCAATCATTATATTGTCCCATATAATAGGTAATATTTTTATCTCCATTATTTTTAAGAGGAAACAGATTCAGAGAGATTATATAACTTGCCCAAGATCACAGAGCTGATGGATAAAGTGGGTTTCAAACCCAGGCAATTTGATTCCACAGCCTTTTCTATTCTCTGGATATCCTGTTGGTCTGTTTTTATTGTCTATTGTTTCTCTAGGTTTTCTATTGCATTGTCTTGTCTCCTCATGACCTACTTCCTTCCTTCCTCCAACTTTTATTATGGTAAGTTTAAAATTTATAGAAAAGCTACAAGAATAGAACAATGGGCACCTCTATATCCTTTATTGAGATCCACACACATATCTAGGTATACAAACACACATACAGGCAGTTACACATGGCATGATTCAAATTTCTGTTACCATAGTATACTAACTATACTTGCATAAAGGACAACTTCACTGCCAGAGCTTCAATCTTCAAATCACTCTATAATTATCAGAATCCCATTACAATCAGTCGTAGTACCCAATCAAGACACTTCTTTCAAAATTTGTCAATGATTGGTCCCTCCCTGCACATCTGTTATTCAGTTCAAACACAGACAGCAAAGCATGCAATTGTGTTGCTTCCTCTTCTCCCCATGATAAACTCACATGACCCTTTACAAAAATGATATTTGAAAGAGGAAATTGGCCAAAAAGATGAAAGTGCAGGAAAGAAATTAAAAGTGATAACACTGAAAGTGAAATCTGAATCAAGCACAAATGGAGGTACAAAAGAGACAACTGGGAATATTGACACTGTCACCATTAGTAACACTCTAGATATACAGCCAGAGGAACTCAGTGGATGCAAAGTTACTGAGATTAAGGAGGAAAGTGGTTACGATGAAAAGCTTGAAAATGTCTTGGAGGAAGTGACATTGGCAAAAACTTCACATCAAAAGAACTTCTGAAGATATTTCACAGCATTATAAGCGCAAATGATAAACTTGTGCAAGCTGATCCAAACTCTGAAGTATGGCCATTTGCAAAGGCACAGAGAAGATGCTTGATCCAAATAGCTATATGATCAGAAGAACTGTTCAAATTATACTTAAGTTTTTCACAAAGAAATGCAATACTTCAATCCTCAATGTTTCTATTGTTTTAAATGCTAGTGTGCCAATTAAAAATTAGTTTTACTATTTTCTTACTTTCTTACATTTATAACTGGCCATCATAATGTTTTGACAGAAATGTTTAAAGTTCATGGAACACTGGTAATTTTTTCCACTGATAATTAAAATTACTTAGCATAATTTCACGTCACATGGTCACTTGAGTGCTGCACTACTATGCAAAGTGAGTACTGCATATATGTATATTTTTTTCCTGAACCATTTGAAAGGACTCTACAGATATCATGGTGCTTCACCCTCTGAATAGTTCACCGTGTATCTTTATCTTAAGAACAGAGATACTCTTCTACATAATCACAGTACCTCTCATCACTCAAAAAATTAAATATTGATACCATAATATATATATCTAATATTCAGCACATATTCAGATTTCCCTAATTGAATGATATCCTTTATAGCATTTTCTGAATATCTAGTATCTACATAAAGATCAAGCATAACCTTTGGTTTCCTTTAATCTAGAATAGTTGTGCTGCCTTTTTTTTTCTTTTCCTCTTATGACATTATTATTTTTAAGGAGTTCTTTAAAATGTTCCATTATTTGGATTTGTATGATTGTTTTCTCTTGCTTAGAGTAAATATTGATGTTCTAGAACTGGTTTCTTCCACCTGCCCTACTCCTGCTCCCCAGACAGGTTCTAGGTAGCTATGGCAAGGTATGGTTAAATTTCTGTAATGTTCTTCTCTCCCTTTTACTCTTTTTTTTTTTTTTATTTTTTTTTTCAACGTTTATTTATTTTTGGGACAGAGAGAGACAGAGCATGAACGGGGGAGGGGCAGAGAGAGAGGGAGACACAGAATCGGAAACAGCCTCCAGGCTCTGAGCCATCAGCCCAGAGCCTGACACGGGGCTCGAACTCACGGACCGCGAGATCGTGACCTGGCTGAAGTCGGATGCTTAACCGACTGCGCCACCCAGGCACCCCTCCCTTTTACTCTTTAACCTCTCTCCTTAACCATCCAACACGTAACCAACCAATCTTCTTCTCTGCAAAAAAAAAAAAAAAAAAAAAAAAAGAAATAACTCCACAACTAAATCCCCCAACTCTCCCATACTTTCTTAACAATAACAGAAAATCATCATCCATTTTCTTCACTCGATTGTTTCAAAGAAAACCTCTCTTTTTATGCCTTGCGTGCTCAAATGCCCTCATGTTCTCTATCCCAATCAAAATCTACTCTCAAGATGGAAAGTCCTTAAACTAAAATTGAAATGACTACCAGCAGTTTAAAAAGATACATCTCCCAGGGGACGATTTGCCTTTTAGCAAAGTACTGTGAAGATGTATGCCCAGTGCCCATAAAGTTCCCAAGGCATAACAGACTCTGACATTTTGTTGAAGTAAATTGACCTATATATAGCTCAGTGGACAAAATTAAAGATTTCCAAATCAAATTGTCCTAATGAAAGCACTACTTTCAGAGTTATAACTGTTTCTATTGACAATTGACAATAGTTTATACAGGAGAGTACTAGAGTCTTGGATGACCAGGTAGGCATTTGAAAAAAATCTTTGAAATCTTGGCAAATAAAATAATTCTTGTAATATAATTACATTGGATGGCTTATCTTACCAACTAGCTTATAAACTTGAATTTAAAGAAGACATTACTATACTATCTTCGGTCTTATTCTCCACAGCTCCTAAAACAAGTCTAATTTTCTGCAATTAGACTTCAGTATACACTTGCCAAATTAAAAAACATATTTATGTATATATACTTTATAAGAATAATACACTGATGATGGTTTGTCCTCCTCTGTTCACCATATCAGAAGGCATATAATGTCAGTTAATGGTCATTTTAAGTGTGATCATTTCGTTAAGGTGGTGTGTATCAGACTTCTCTACTGTCAAAATACCTCTTTCCTTTTGTTATTAATAATACATAAGAAGATACTTGGAGACTATGTGGATATCCTATTTTCCAATTGTTTACCCAGTGGTGTTAACATCCATTAATAAGCATTTCCTTATCACTTACTATTCTGGTGGTTACAAAATTATTTTTTAATGCTATCAATCCATGTACATTAACTGGCATTCCTCTGTAAAGAAGAGTTTTCCCTCCTCTCTTTGCCCTTTGTTTGAGTATTTTTATCAACTCATGGATTCTTCTGTGCCCTTTGACATATCCCATCAGTTTGCGAATGCTTATCTGATTATTTTTAAGTGAATGTCAGATATTGCATTTAGATAACTGTAAAAATAGTTTGAGGTCTAAAATAATATCTTTGGCCAAGGAGGGTTTATATTTGCTTCTGGCAAAAGATTAAGGTCACTAGCAATCCTAGATCACCTTAATCCAATTGAGGGACCTGAGAGGATTTGAAGCTAGAAGGGATAGTCTATTTCTAGTTTACCATTACTGCCAATGTAGTCCTTTGGTTCCCAACTTACTGCGTGTTGTCACGCCCCTTGACCTTCCTCAGACTTCAACTTTTATACCCCTTTCCCTGTTAATCTGTCAAAAGTTTGGTTCAGCTTCTCCGCCACCTCTTTGGGAAAAGTGGCTCTAAATATTCTCACCTCTCTGGGTTTCTTTCTCTCAGATCTTGTTACATTCATTCTTCATGTTAGCTCCTAGAATGATTTTTAAAATATTTTGTCCAACTTACGTGGATTTCCTCAGTAAGAATATTAGCCTGAATTACCAAATCTATTACTGGAAGTGAAAGTTCACTTTACCCCAGAGTTGACTTTTAAACTTTTTTCTTAAAATGTTTATTTATTTGAGACTGAGAAAGAGAGAGAGAGAGCAAGAATGGGGGGGGGGGGGGGGGGGGGGAGGCAGAAAGAGAGAATCACAGAGACAGACCCAGAATCTGAAGCAGGCTCCAGGCTCTGAGCTGTCAGCACAGAGCCTGATGAGGGCCTTGAACTCACAGATTGCAAGATCATGACCTGAGCTGAAGTCAGATGCTTAACTGGCTGAGCCACCCAGGCGCACCCCCAGAGTTGACTTTTAAAAATAAAAATATGGTCATGTCATTTTCCTAATTAAAACATTTCAATGACTGCCTATTTTTGTCTTCTTTTTATAAATACTTTAAAAATTTTTTTTAATCTTTATTTTTTTTTTGAGAGAGAGAGAGAGAGACAGAGCGTAAGTGGGGGATGGGCAGAGAAGAGGCAGACAAAGAATCCAAAGCAGGCTCCAGGCTCTGAGCTGTCAGCACAGAGTCCAACATGGGGCTCAAACTCATGAACTGTGAGATCATGACCTGAGCCAAAGTTGGATGCTTAACTGACTAAGCCACCCAGATGCCCCTGAAGTTTTTAAGCAATCTCTATACCCAGTGTGGGTCTTGAACTCACAACCCCGAGATCAAGAGTTGTATGCTGTACCAATTGAGCCAGTCAGGCGCCCCTATTTTTCTTTAGAATCCTTAATTAGGCCTGAAAGTCTACATCTCTAGATTATCTCCAACCACTCTCCTTCTCACTTTCTACTTTCCAGACCCAGGAGCTCTCTTCTGCATGCCACACCTTCACAATTCTGGCTTTGCACTTGCCGTTCCCATCCCCTGATCATTGTTAACTGCCCCTGCCCATCTCCCTCTGATCTAGTTAATGCTGAATCATCAGAACTCAGCCAAATGTGGGGTGCCTGGGTGGCTCAGTTGGTTAAGCGCCCAACTTTGGCTCAGGTCATGATCTTGCATTTCATGAGTTCCAGCCCGGCATCAAGCTCTGTGCTGACAGCTCAGACAGAGCCTGGAGCCTGCTTCGGATTCTGTGTCTCCCCCTCTCTCTGCCCCTCCCCTGCTTGTGCTCTCTCTCTGTCCCTCAAAAAATGAATAAATGTTAAAAAAAAAAAAATTAAGAAAGAACTCAGCCAAATCTTTCTTCACCAAAGATGCCCTTCCTGGCTCCCCTAGCCTAAGTTGGTCTCTGTCATGGCATCCTGTTCTTCTTCAAAGCATTTACTGAAGTCTGTAATTATATGTTGATCTGAGTAACTATTTGAGTAAAATTTGTCTTCTTCCATATGCTAAATGAAAGCAGGGATTTTGTCTGTTTTGCTAACCATTGCATGCCCAGTAACTACTTACGGCAGGTATTCCATAAATGAATAAAAATGATCATCAATCAACAAATCCTTTTCTGGGCCATTTATCTATGCAAATAGCCCAACAACAGGACTGCACCTAGAGTTTTGGTGATGCAGCTAAACTTTCCTGGTTTTTAACTTTGAAGCCTGATTTAAAAAAAAAAAAAAAAAAAAAAGTCAGTTTTCTTTTTTCTTATGGTCTCATTGATTTCACATCAAAAGAGCTTTATTTTTAACCAAAGAAACATTGTTTTTTGGTGACTTGGCAAAACTTTAAAACCAAGAGGTTACTTTGGCTTCAGTGTAAACATGCTTATTATTGAGAAAAGTCATTCAGATTCTTGACTTCTAATTTAGCTAACTCCTCAGAAAGTGAAAAATAAGAGTTTCGGGCAGGAGATGAAATCAAAATAATATAGGAAATAATATTGGAAATATTTTCTTTTGCTTAATATAGATTTTCCTGATACAGCAAATTTCCATCTGTTTTACATTTGAAAAAGAAAGACAATTGCTTCTTTAGAGTCTGTAGGCAAGTAGTCAATAAATAATGGGAACTCTAATTGATAATATAAGATTTTGCTTCAGAGTGAGATGTATGCTTACATTACTAGAAACTTGTATGAGCCTTCACTGACTTTTTAATTTTCATATTTTAATATGCTTGACTTGGAGTTGGCTATTCTTTCCCTCTAAACCCATAGAACATATAAATAAATGTCAACTGTTCCACCTCTTTAGCCTCAAAGTAATTTCTTATTCAGTCAGCTTCCCTGCGTGGGATCTTCACTGACAAAGTTGGGTAATAGGAACTATAAGTTAGCTTAAGTTTATAGGAATTAGACTTTACCTTTGTTGGAGAAACGAGTGGACACATCACCACTGGACACCACCTCACTTCCAGGCTTTGTGAAAATAAATCTCCTTCCTCTGCAAATGCAGAATACAGCCCAGTACTTATTTAAAAAGATATATTTTTAAGACCTCCTAATTAACCTTGTCAAATGAAGCAATCAGTGTGTTTGTTCTGTAGGTTTAGAAATGCGGATGTTCTTAGACATGGTAGCAAGCAATGTAGCTTCTCCCCTAAGCGCTAGTCTTCATTATCCAACTGCCTCGTAACCATCTCTACTTCGATATCTATTGTATCTCAATCTTTGTTTTAATGTTTGTTTGTTCATTTATTCATTAAAAGAGAGAGGAGGGGAGGGGCAGAGAGAGAGGGAGAGAGAGAATCCCAAGCAGGTTCTGCTCTGTCAGCATGGAGCCCAATGGAGGGCTCAACCTCACAAACTGTGAGATCATGACCTGAGCTGAAACCAAGAGTCGGACACTTAACCAACTGAGTCACCCAAGCATCCCTATTATGTCTCAATATTAACATGTCCAAAACTACACTGTTTCCCCTTGCTCTCAAAAGTCTGCTTCCCACAGCCTGCACCATCTCAATGAATGACAACTACATTCTTCTAACTGCTCAAGCTACAAAGTGAGGGGTCATTCCTGTGTCTTCAGTTTCCCCCATAACCCATACCTAATTCAATAGCAAATCCTCTCAGCTCTACCTTCAACACATATCCAGAATCTAATCACATCTTATCACTATCATGGTTACCACACTTGTTGAACCACAATAATCTCTTCTCTAGACTGTTAACTGATCTTCCTGCTTTCACTTCTGCCATCTTACAAGGTTCTTCTACAGACAGCAACCAGAGTTATCCTTTTAAAATGTAAATTATGTAGTAAATTATATAGCTTTCTGTGTCAATGTAGAATCCAAAGTCCTTACCATGGGCCTAAAAGGTATGAAATCTGGCCACTCCTTTGACTTCTTCAACAGAACTCTATTTTGTTCATTCCAATCAAACTGGCTTCTGTAATTTTCCTCTGGGATGCCAAGCTTACCTCTACCTCAGAGCCTCTGCATATGCTGTTCTGTTTACCTGGAATGCTCTTACTCTAATATTTTCATGGCCAGCTCCTGTATCTCCCTCAGGCTTCTGCTTAAATGTTTTCATTTACGAAATGCCTTCCCTGCACAGCACATCATTTTTAAAAAGCACCTCATTCCCTTATAGCTTTTTAATACCTTAGCCAGAATGACTATGTATCTCAGTTTATCCAGGGCAGTCCTGGTTTCATCTGCATTCTCTTGGCATAATTATAAATAATTATTCTCAAAGTGTTTTTATTTGATAAATTATGTGGTTGTATACCCTTACCGTGTCTTATTTCTAGAGCTTTCATCATCACCTGATACTACTTATTTCTTCCCATTAGAATGTTGATAAGAGTTGACCATTTTATTCTCTGCTCTGTCCCTAGCGCTTAAAAGTGCCTAGAACACATGCTCAAGTGTTTGGCAATGAATAAACAAACGAATGAATGAGTTGGGGTCATAACTATCTGATTATGTCAAGTGTTTTCCTGGGAATTAGGAAAAAAATAAATAAATATAGTTCCTGTTCACAAGCACAAGCCCCACCTGAGAGATTCTGATTTGACTGGTCTTGTGTAGAGACTAGTGATGTTCATTTTTAAAGTGGCTCCAGTAATTCTCATGTATAGGCCAAACTGAAAACCTATGTCCAGGAGACATCTGCCTAGTGGGAGAGTCCAAACAAAAGGCAGGTAGGCATGAAAACCATCTTTCCTCAATGAATGGCTAGTGTGCCAGTGTGCCAAATCACCATTTTTGAAGTTTAGACATCAACGCGAAAACTGATATTATGTACACGATACTGCCCAATGTGGCTAGCCAGGGCTCCTGATGAATTAAATTCCTAAATTCCATTTTTGTTACTAAACAAAATCTTGTGTATTGGCTTTGTAGAGTCTGAAGAGCAGAAAAGGAAACTATCATGGCCTCGCAATAGTATGAGTGGGGACAGGAAAGTTGTCCCACAGAGAACTGATTCTGGGACTTGATGAAAATGAGCACTTGGGCACGATTTATTTGCAGGGAACAGCTTTGTAACCAAGCCTGTGCTTATACCCTAATTATAGCCTTTTCCTTCCCCCTAAAGTTTATTTATTTTCTGAGAGCGTGCACGTGGGGGAGGAGCAGAGAGTGCACATGGGGGGGGGGGGAGGGGGAGAGAGAGAGAGAGAGAGAGAGAGAGAGAATCCCAAGCAGGCTTTGCACTGTCAGCATGGAGCCTGACATAGGGCTCAATCTCATGAACTGTGAGATCATGACCTAAGCAGAAATCAAGAGTTGGACACTTAACCAACTGAGCCTCCCAGATGCCCCACCCTAATTATATCCTTAAGATAAACTCCTACAAGTAGAAATGCTGTTAACTCAGATGGATCTCTGAACATGATTTTCAAGATCATCTTTAATTGGGAATTCATTTTCAAAAAGTAATTGCGTTTTTTTAGTTGTACTCCAAGTACACAAGTGAGTTTCTTAACATGCTAAAGAATAATAATTCTAGCTACTTTAAGAAATCTCCTGTTGGCAATTCTCTCCTCTGACATTATGCAGTTAGGCTTAACTCCTCCTCATATATTCTCAGCGGTTTGCCTGTATACCTCTATTTTAGCACTTACCACACTGTAGTGTATTTGTTTGTTTTCCTATTTGGCCATACCTTCCCCCTCCCCCCAAGTCTCTGTCCCCTCCCGATCTCCCACTATCTCAAGTGTTTTAAAAGATTATGAACTCCTAAAGCAACAGTACCTAGGGAACATCTTCAAAGCGCAGAATCCCTTGCCTCTGAGATTTGGGTTCAGGAGGTCTGGAATAGGGCAGGAGAATCTGCAGCAGACTTCTGCAGGTCATCTGTGTGGTCAGTTCACAGACTTTACTATAAGAAGCTGACAGAGAATAGGGACTATCTTAGTCATCATTGCATAACTAGTACCTGGCACACACACACACCCAATAAATTGTACTGAATCAATGGAATAAATGATCTGGAAAACATCTGGGGACTCCTCCAAGGGGATCATTGTATATAGACCCCAAACCAGTTAGATCAAATAGCACTTTGATTATGTGCTGTAGGAATTACACAACAGGTCCAAAACTTGAAGGGGATTGAAGAGCACACTTGATTGTCATGCATCCTGTAAGAAGAACAGTTGAGCAGATGATTAGGCAGTTGACAAATGCAAATCTTAGATAAACAGAATAGTTTGTGATCTGGCATAAACATTTTAGAACTCAGGCTATTCCTATTTTATGCTTAATTTTCTCTAGGCCTTGTATCTTCACCTTTCCCAGACAGAGGTACCTTACTGCCTCAGGAGAGGTGGAAAAAAGTGAGTCTCAAGAAAGAGATTACAAAGGAGAAATATTTTTAAAATTTGGAAATAGTCCTTAAGGTTAATATTTTATCACTTTATGAAAATATGAATCTTAAGTTCACATTTATCAAAGCATGTTCATGTCTGGCTCTAAACCAACCTACCTCTGAGCTTTGAATTAATTCACCCTTATTTCATGCTGATTAAATTCCCTACACCTTTAGTTTCTCTGACACATCCTCTAGCAGCATTTTCCAATCTTTGTGCATCAACACCATATTTAAAACCCACCTGAGGGGCGCCTGGGTGGCTCAGTCGGTTAAGTGTCCGACTTCGGCTCAGGTCATGATCTCGCGGCCCGTGAGTTCGAGCCCCGTGTCGGGCTCTGTGCTGACAGCTCAGAGCCTGGAGCCTGTTTCGGATTCTGTGTCTCCCTCACTCTGACTCTCCCTCATTCATTCTCTGTCTCAAAAATAAATAAACGTTAAAAAAAATTTTTTTTAAACCCACTTGACGTAAATAAATTTCAGCCCAAAACTTTTCTTGTTCTAGAATGCCAAGCATGCAGCACCCCCTCAAAGGGAAGTTAGGTAAGTTCCAGGGGCTGACCCATTAATAGAGTGTATGTTTAAAAACAACAGTAATTCTTTTGTCTAGATAAGAAGTTCGACTTTTCTTTCACTTTGACTATATTAGATACATTCACATATGAATTTCATTTAAGTTAAATAGTAAGTTGTCTTTATATACATAGTCAGAAAACATTATAGCCTGGACTTAGCACTCACAGATAAGGAATTGTCAGTCTGCCATTTATGCAAGTTGGTTGTGTTCTCCATGTAATCTCAGTACAGCATTGCTAAGAGCTAAGGCCTCTGTTTTCAAATCTCGAGTCTTTCACTGTGCTGAGTCACATTAGTCACTGTTTCCTTCTCGATGTGGTAACCAGAAATGATTATCTTTCTACCATAAGGATGTTGGGGAATTAACTATTACTAATAATTGTGAAAACAGAAAGCAACAGATACTGTTACTTATACTTTATAGCATGTCTTATGTTAATAAAAATGGGAGGGAAAAAATGGGAGGCCTTGGGTCACCTGAAATTTCCAGTAAGTAGTCTTGGCTTTTGGATGAATAGGTTGTTCATTGGAAGTGCTCTACTGAATTGATCAGCCATGCCAAGGCAAATCCAGTGGACACGGGTAACAGAAATTAGCGACAAAAGGAATACACAGAAAGGAATTAGAACGTTTCAATCCTATAAATATATTTAAAAAGAATTAAATGTCTTAGGGCCATATGTAAATAAAAAGTGTACACCTACCTATACCCTATATGTTGCATGTATAGGTTTCTTTTGTAGTTTTGAAGAATATTTGAGAGGAGCCACTTATTCATGTATGTTTACTTACAATATTTAATCCAGTGACTTGAATGTGGTAGATACTCAGTGAATAAATGATTTTTTTTTTTAAAAAGTGAATTGACAAGTTCTATGACAAGGACCCAGTAAAGTAAAACTTGTTATAGTTACAGACTATCAAATGGCTATTTGTTCAAAAGATTGTGTTAACATGGAAAGCTATTTATAGTGTTAAAAATACGAAAATACAATAATAATGATAGAAAAAAAAAACAACCTTCGAATAAAACAGACCACAGCAAAATGTTACAATAGGACTTTAGAAGGTTCAACTATGGGTATTCTTGTCTCCTCTCTACTTTCCATTTTTTCTTTAACAAACCTATTTCTTAATTATACAATTTGGTCTACCTGTGAAACTGGCAGGGAATGTTATAGGAGTTGATGTATTACTTTGTGACAGCTTATATTTCTGACATAAGGTCATGTTGCTATCTAATTGATAGAGCTTCCAAGCAAGAAGACTAGTTAGAAGGTAACTTATCATAGTTTATGTATTAGCTAAGAACATGTTTAGCTGCATATAACAGAAAACAGTCTAACCAAATTGGGGTTACAATGAGTTCAGGGGTAGCCAGTCTAGGACTGCTGCTGCAGCTTCAAGATATCGTGAATGACTCAGATTCCTACCTTTCTGCTCCAGAATCCTTATCTTGGGGATCTCTTCTTTATATTTCCCACATCATGTTCACTTTCATTTTTGTCATGAGGCTCCATCTCCATCCTTACATTGTGTTATAGGAGAAAGAAGAAAAGAAGAAATGGAAGGGGTGTCTATATATATTAAGGAAGAAGTGGTTTTCTAGAAATCTTCACCATGTGTCTAGAATTATATGCCATGGCCACTCATAAGAGTATGAAATCTAGGAAAATGAGTTTTTTGGCTAGCCACATTGCTAGCCCTCCCCCTTCCTCTAAAAAGTATCAGGCTCTTTCTGATAAGGAAGGGGCAATCATTAGTATCTGCTAACCCTCTTCTCATATAAGGAATATACTTATCCCCTCCCTAAGAGAAACAATCTCAAAGTTACATCCAGTTATTGTAATGAGCTCACAGTCCAGGATCCAGAAGTTCCAATGATATGGAATACTCCCATTGTGTGGCTCTTCATGCTCTGGGAACCAACTTTTAAAGAAAAGTTATTTGCCTCGTACTCCTAATAAGTAATGGTGGGTAGACAGGGTACAGGATGGTGGTAAAAGTCTCATCAGAAAAGGGGAAAATGGGAAATACACAGTGAGCACTGGTACACACAACATCACGTATCTTGTTAGGTAACTAGCAAGAAATCTATGCCCTTGGTCATTTAATCTGTCAGTTCCTGATTTTGTTCTGTAGGAGGACCTTCTTTATCCCATTATCTTCCAGGGATCACGTTTGGGGTGGACCTTGTGGAAAATACCTCTTCTGGAGTAGTAAACCTTTAACAGTCTGAGGAACCTAGATCCAAGAGTGGTGAGTCAAGAACCTGGTGCCATTTTTCTCTCTGGGGCGACTGATGTTCTGAAAGTAGTAGAGGCTGAGAACTAGCTAGAATTTTCAACTGCCTCAGGGGAAGTGGGTAGGGAATGGAAGGTGAAAGATTTGAGTTCAGGGCCTGAGGAAGAAAGACTTCAAACTGGAATTCCAAAGGGCTACACTCTGGAAGTAATGTTTAACTATTAATCCCTGGATTAAGGTGGTCTGTCCTTAATCTAAGTGAACCCCCCCCCCCTCAAATGAACCACACCTTCTCATATTCCTGGCCTCTTATGGGCCCCTCATACACAGAGTCTGAGTTTGGTCATATGACTTGCTTTGGCCAATGACACATTAGTAAGCATGATGCAAAGACTTGCATTCTATTTCACCTATTAGCCTCTGAATTCTGTCCGTATCAATCCTACCTTAGTTGAATGGCCATGACTTGATGCACTGTGAAATACGCCTGCTGGGGAGGTACTACCCTTAATCCATTCTTTGCTGGTGTGTCACCCAGTCTGGTATAGAATAGTTTAAGAAAGCTTGAAACAGTTACTTCTATTACTACTGCTGCTTAGCTCCTGTTTTGATAGGCTTTCATGTTTTGTAAGGTCATAGTTGACTTCTTTTTCAACCCAGAAAGTCTCCGAATTATGGAATTCAGTCAGTTTAGATCTCAGGCAGAGAGCACAGCTTTGCAAGCTGTGGTCCCTTCTCTCTGCCAGCTGTTGGGGATATAAGCCATAATTAACTTCTAGGAAAAGAAAAGGGCCTTTCTTCTCCAATATGTAGAGATTACATGAATTGAACGTAGTGTTTCTTCCTCTACCACTGAAGGGCTGTTCGATATAGGAAGAGGCTTACCATCCAAGCCATTTTATGGTCCAGAAACTATAGCGAAGTCACATGCAATGTATATACTAAAGATGAGTGTATGGTACTCTGCAAGTTCCACGAAGACAGGCATGGCGTCTGAGCTGATCAAGGCTGTATGTAGCCTAATCCTAGTTACACACACAATAGACACGGAGCAAACATTTGCTGAGTGAATAAATTATTCACTATGGTGTTTAAGGGCTTTCAAGCACATACATTCGCTCTTACTGTCAAAACCCCAAAGGTAGGTTTCCCTTCTGTTACGCTGCCTACGTTTCCCGTGAAACGGAGGAGTGTCCACGACCGACCGCGTCGGGTAGGCTACTGGCCGGGGTGCGCTGCTGGGCCGGGCCGTCAGGTATGCGGAGGGCGACCCCGTCTGGCCACAGTGGCAGTAGCAGCCGTTTGTCTCCTCTTGGGGTCCAGCGGCGTCAAGGGCAGGAGGCGTCTTACCAGGAGGCAAATAAAGCCTACTGTACAGAAACCGCTCGTTCCGTTGCACATCCTCTCGGGTGCTCGGGTTTCCTCGGAACACCGTGACCCCTCACGTGTCTGCAGTCAGGTAGAGCCTCCCTCACGGGGCGCACACTTACCCTCTTCACAGCCGTGCGCGCTCTCCAGCCCGCGCGTGGATCTGGACCCTCGGGGACCCAGCTGGCCGCGGAAGGACACGCCCCCTCGCGGGAGCACGCGGCCGCCGCAGGCACCCCTCGCGCGCCTCCCTGCCAGAGAGCGCGCACGCGCACGCGGGGCGGGCCTCCTTCCCGGCACCCACTGAGCGCCCGGCCCTCTCACCCCACCCCTCTCCCCCGCTGCCCAGGCTCCGCCTCCGCGACGGGGCAGCAGAGAGGAGGCGACCGGAAGCCACTTTAAAGCAGAGCTCGGGGTGACAGGCGAGCGAGCTGGATCGGGAGTGCGGTTGCGGCTTTCTGCACTCCCGGTGGCGGAATGGCCAGTTCGCTGCTTGTCGCGTCTCCGGCCTGCGACCCTTAGACGCCTAAGCCTGCCCTGCGCGCCGATCCTCCCGCGCGGACGCTGCCGGCGAGCCGGCGGTGAGGCGACTCGGCTCCTGCGGTCCGTTCTCTCAGGCAGCGTGATCAGGTAAAGGGCTCCGGGTGGGCTCTGAGGAGCCGACGAGAAACCTTAGCTGGGATGGTGGGCGAGGACGGGGGTCTCCGGCTTCGCAGCCTCTCACGGATCTAGGGGTGATTGATGTTTAGACTGTGCCTTTTTCTACCAAATTCACTCGGATCCCGTCAGTACCGGGATGGGATTGGTGTACACTTCTTAATCACTTACGGCCTCGGGCAGGTGTATAAATCTGAGGAAGACACTGAAGGGTTTAGTCAGGGTCGCCGGCGTCTCCCCAGTCCCACTTGGTCTGGGTGGGCGCGGGGGCACGTCTATGCGGCCTCCCCCGCCGGGCGGACCCCGAGCGCTCTGAGGCGAAGTGAGGAGAAGCACTTCGCAGATTGAGGGGCAGGGCACGGCAGCTGCGGGGAGCCTTTCGGCAGACCCGCGTTCCGGCGGCAGCCCAGAAGTTTGCAGGCTGTTTTCAGATCAACTTTGAAGGCACAGGAGTCCTCGCCTTCCTCCCCGCCACCTCGAGAAGCGCCGACCGCCTTCCCCCCCCCCGCGCTTCTCGGCTCATTTCTGCGAGCCTCCGAGACTCGCAGGACGATCCTCGCAGGAAGGTCGGTTGAGGAGGCGAGCAAGCAATTAAGTGTGGACGGCGCCCTGGGGGGCTTCTGGGATGGGGGGAAGCCTGGGCGGGGGTCGCTGGTTGGGACGAGGCTGCGGGGAGGTTTTGGGGGCGCTCCGGAGCCTGCCGCGGGGAAGGCGAGGGTGCGATGCTCCGGAACGCCGGGAATTGGCCGAGCCGGGCGGCGCCTCGGTCGCGCTGCGCGGAGTTGGCGCGGCCCCGGGGGCGGAGCTGCGGAAACCGCCGCGGCCGGCAGGAGGCGTCTCTCGGACCCGGGCTCGACGTCCGGGTGTCGCGCAGGGGCTGCGCGGGGGAAGAGTCCTGAGTTTGCAGCGGGCTGTTTCGGTGCACTGCGCCGGGGGCCGGGAGTGAGATCACGAGGTGAGGGGTGGAGCGGTAGGTCGCCTGCAGCGGGGGGACCGGAGGAAGTGTCCTTCCAATCTTTATTTTTCTGTTATGCAAACTAATTGAGGAACTGGGTTCTAGTGACTTCCCCACTCCAGCCACTTCAGTTCTCCGCCTCTTCCTCAGTTTTATTTCCCAGTTTGACGGAGGGCAATAACAGGAAAAGTTACCGTGTGTGTGTGTACACCTCTATAAATAAAATTGGTTCAGTGTCTGTTTTGCCTTGGGTGGATGTGGTAGGAGTGGCGTGTGTGTGTGTGTGTGTGTGTGTGTGCGTGCGTGTGTGCGTGCATGCATGCGCGCGCGCGTGTCTGTGTGCGCGCGCGCACGCACTCGAGGGGAAGGCACAGGCGGGTTTAGTGGGGTGGAGAGGGAATACCACAATCTGTGCCAATTGTGCCTTGAGGCAAGAGCGCCGAGTGATGAATAATAACGCCTGGCTTGGCGGCTTTCCAGTTGATTTATGTCTTATGTCAAGTCCCTCCTTCCCTAACAATGCCAGCTCACACCGAACTCTTTCTGCCTTTTCCTTTTGTACTTACCGTGTGCCCTAACACCTGGCTCTATACAGTTGAACGCTAAAAAACAAGTTGGAACTTTCCGGGTCCACCTATATGTGGATTTTGTGTACTACTGTAAATGTGTTTTCTCTTCTTTGTGATTTTCCCAACCTTTCCTGTAGCTTACTTTGTTGTGAGAATACAGTACAATAACACATGTAACACAAAATTTGTGTTAATCGGCTGTTTGTTATTGGTTAACGGTAGGCTGCTAGTAGTTAAGTTCGGGACTCAAAAAGTTATGGATGGATTTTTCCAGGGGTAGGTTCCATGAACCGCCTCTTCCACCCACCTTGTTCAAGGGTTAGCTGTACTGTGCTTTCTTTGAGTTTGATCATTATGAACTTTTTATACATAGATTTATGAATGTTTCCAGTTAGATCTTTAATATTCATTTTTCTGGGGATTCAGTTGTATAATTTTGTTATTGTTGACCTATAAAGGCTAACAGAACAGGTGCTTTTTCTTCAGTTATTCAGTTAAAAAATATTATGGAGCACCTGTGTGCATTGTGCTAGGCATAGTGCTGGTCACCTGGGATGAGTATTTGATGAAGCCACGGACCCTTGCATCAATGATCTCTTTTTCTTTTAGTCTGTTGGCAGAGAGAGAGAGAGAGAGAGAGAGAGAGAGAGAGAGAGAGAGAGAAGATTAATTGCTTATCACCAGCTCTTTTCCACCTCCTACAGTGCTAAGGAGGAGACAATGATATTTGTCATTTTACAGAGTTTGCTTTGCTTTTGACTTTAAGTTCTAGTTTTTTTCAAGGGGTCTGATTCTTTGAAGAGAGCACCTTTTTGGTTTGAGTAGCTCATTAGGAAGCTGTGACATTTGGTGTGTGTGTTTTATATTCTTGCATTATTTTTCTATAATATGGCTTCATTTGCTTTAATAGATAAAGCCATGTATGTGTCATTTCTGAAGACAAGGACAAGGAGGCCCTTTTGCAGTTAAGAAGTTGTGTTTGGTCTCTAAAACAGCCTATAGTGGTTGCTGCTGATGTAGCTTCTGTTGCTAAACAAGCAACTGGCATTCCTTCTCCAATAGTGGTAATGTTTTGGGAATTGTGAAAGTAGACCCCTAACATCCTTCAGGAATATATTTGAACTTAGAAGTGCTTCAACATGCCCCTGGCTTTCTCCCACATAACATTTCCATTGACAGCCCCTGTTTCCTGGGTAGATTCTCATGCTTTAAATTCACTCACTATTTAACTTTGAAGTTAATCTTTAATTTGGTGAAAAATTTTTTTTTTTTTTTTTTTTACAAAGAAACCGTTTTGTCACCTCGTGAGATAGGTGATAAACAACTGTGAAGAGAACCACAAACCAGAGAAGTTGTGGTTTCCCTGCTGTCATCAGTTAGCCACACTTATTTCTACACCCCACCCCCCAACTCCACCCTAGACTTACAGTAAAAACTGATACTCCAGCAGAATTACCAATCATATATTGTCCACAAATAAATGTCAAGAGTCTATTAGAAGATACTGTCTCTTTACCTTTACCTGCTATGGGCTTTTGAATAGCCTTGGCTGCTTTGGAACCTTAATTTCTCATTAAAATTTAAAATTGACCCATAAAGATGAAATATGGTATAAGAGGAGTGACTTCAGGGACTTAGTCACAGACTAAAACAAAACATTTTGATGAATGAATGGGATCCAGTTGTTGTCAGCTTGCAAATGATCATCTTCTTTCCTTTCCTGGTAGGATTTTTAGACTCTGAGGAGCAATTGGAGCTCATCCACACCATGGAAATGGAAACCACCGAACCTGAGCCAGACTGTGTAGTGCAGCCTCCCTCTCCTCCTGATGACTTTTCATGCCAAATGAGACTCTCTGAGAAGATCACTCCATTGAAGACTTGTTTTAAGAAAAAGGAACAGAAGAGATTGGGAACCGGAACCCTGAGGTCTTTGAGGCCAATTTTAAATACTTTGCTAGAATCTGGCTCACTTGATGGCGTTTTTAGATCTAGAAACCAGAGTGCAGATGAGAGCAGCTTACATGAACCTATTGTGAAAAAACCCCTGGAAATCAATCCATCATGTCCACCAGCGGAAAACAGTATGTCTGTCCTGATTCCTGATGGGACAAATGTTGGGGGCCAAATACCAGAAGCTCATCCTTCCACTGATACTCCAGAACAAGTGGTTCCAATCCAGGATCACAGCTTTCCACCGGAAGCTATCAGTGGGACGGTGGCAGATTCTACAGCAGGGCACTTCCAAACTGACCTTTTGCACCCCGTTTCAAGTGATGTTCCTACTAGTCCTGACTGCATAGACAAAGTCATGGATTACATTCCAGGGGTTTTCCAAGACAACAATTTTACAATCCAGTACATTTTGGACACCAGTGATAAGTTGAGTACCGAGCTTTTTCAGGACAAAAGTGAAGAGGCTTCCCTTGACCTTGTGTTTGAGCTGGTGAACCAGCTACAGTACCACACTCACCAAGAGAATGGAATTGAAATTTGCATGGACTTTTTGCAAGGCACTTGTATTTATGGCAGGGATTGTTTGAAGCACCACACGGTCTTGCCATATCATTGGCAGATCAAGAGGACAACTACTCAAAAGTGGCAGAGTGTATCCACTGATTCCCAGGAGCACTTGGAAAGATTTTACTGTAACCCAGAGAATGATAGAATGAGAATGAAGTATGGGTATGTATTTATAACTACTTTAAAACTATTGTTAAGTCCTATAGAGAAGGTCAAGAGGCTAAATGCTTATTAGTAGGGTAGTTTCTTTCAGTAGTAACCTAACAGGTTTTATTCTTTTCTTTACTGTTACTCTTTCAGCTGTATGCTAACCTGGTTTTTCATGTTGGTTTAATGCAGAGTATTCACCTAACCAGATTATGAAGTTTTATGATTTGAACAATCCATATGTCACTCTGTACAGTATGTGTGTGCCAGAGAAGTTGCATATACATTGAATGTTGTGAATCAGATACTGTTTTAATCACACAAAAGAGCTTGCTTTTGAAAGAAAATCCAAGGTTAATCTTACTGTAGCACAAATAATGAATACCAAATTTATCTAATTTTAAAGTTTTGCATGT